TATTGTTTTCCAAAGAGGTTGGACCATTTTGCAATCCCATCAGCAATGCAAGAGTGTCCCAGTCTCTCCACATCCCCGCCAGCATTTATTATCTTCTCCATTTTTCATCTTTGCTGTTATTGTTGGTGTGAGATGATATCTCATTGTTGTTTTGATTTGTTGGCTGTATACTTTATGGAAGCAAATTACCAAGCCTTTCTCCCATGGAGCTGTGGGGTGGATTTGAATCACCTACCTTTTGGTTAACAGCCAATCACAAACCGCTTATGTCATCCAAGCGGACTTAGTGATAAGTTGGAAATAGTTTAAATGCTCAGCATTTAGATAGACATTAAACCAGTTATAGTGTAAGCCTAACAAATTACTACATCAAAAAGCATGATCTTGCTTGAATTGTCTCAACATATATACATTCTCATTTTGTACATGCCTGTTAGAATTAAGGAGCTCTGGTAGCATAGTGGTTATGAATCGGGCTGTGAACCTCAAGGTCAGCAGTTCAAAACTACCAACTGTTCCATGGGAGAAAGATGAGGCTTTCTGCTCCCGTAAAGATTTACAGCCTTGGAAACCCTTTACAGGGTCACTATGAGTCAGAACCGACTCCACGGCATACAACAACAACAACAACAATTAGAATTAAACCTTTATTCTCATAAGCATATGGAGTAGATTTTCAGAGATAACTTAATACTTACGTGAACTAAATTTCTATAAAACTATTTAAAGTCATTATTTAAAACTTTTAAACAATTGCTTTACCCCTTTCATGCTTAAAGTGTTTATGTCTGCATGCATTTTGTAAACATAAGACTTATTAGCAAGACCTTGAGTAAGTGAAAAGGGGTGGAATCCAGGGCACAAGTGGCAGGATGGGCCTTGCGTAGGAGCAGAGTAGGCAAAGAAGAGTAGGCAGACTAGAGGGTGCTGATGAAAATGGGCTGGTAGATTTGGTGATGAGAGGATGAAGCTCTCTTTAAGAGAGGTTACAAAATTGTTGTCACAGAGAATAGGAGAGTGAATCAAATAGACATAAGACTACTGAGAAATGCTTAAGTATGAAAGCAAGTGATATGTGTAACGCAATGCTGGTAGTTCTGGACTGCGTAATCTAACTAGGTATGATGTTGTTAGGTGCCATAAGGACCTTATGCACAACAGAACCACACACTGCCTTGTCCTGTGCCATCTTCATAATCGTTAAGCTTGAGCCCAGTGCTGCTGTGACTGTTTCAATCCATCTCATTGGAGATCTTCCTCTTTTCTATTGACCCTCAACTTTAACAAGCATGATGTCTTTCTCCAGAGTCTGGCCCTGCCTGAAAATATGTCCAAACTATGAGGTGAAGTCTCACCATCCTGGCTTCTCAGGAGCATTTTGGTTGTACTTCTTTGAACATAGATTTGTTTGTTCTCTGGCAATCCATGTCACTTTTAATATTCTTCACCAACACCATAACTCAAATGCATCTGTTCTACTATGGTCTTCCTTTTCTTTCAGCAAGCAAGGTTCTATTATCTGCATATCACAGGTTGTTAATGAGTCTTCCTCCAATCCTGATGCCATGTTCTTTATATAATCCAGCTTCTTGAATTATCTGCTTAGCATACATATTGAATAAGTTTAGTATATATATTGAGTAAGTATGGTGAAAGAATACAACCCTGGATCACACCTTTCCTGATTTTAAACCATTCAGTATCCGCCTTGTTCTGTTAGAAAGATTGCCTCTTAGTGTATGTACACGTTCCTCATTAGCACAATTCAGTGTTACGGAATACTTTTTTTCCACAGTATTGACCATAGTTTGTCATGATCCACACAATCAAAAGCCTTTGTACAGTGAATAAAGCATGGGTAACATCATTCTAGTATTCTCTGCCTTTAGCCAAGGTCCATTTGATGTCAGCAGTGATATCCCTCGTTCCACATCCTTGTCTGAATCCAACTTGAACTTCTGACAGGGATTTCCCTGTCAGAGCACTGTTGCGGCCATTTAAAAATTATCTTTAGCAAAATTTTGCTTGCATGTGATATTAATGATATTATCCTATGATTTCTGCATTCCGTTGGATCACATCTCTGGAATGGACACAAATATGGATCTCTTCCAATCAGTTGCCCAGGCAGCTGTCTTCCAAATTTCTTGTTATAGATGTTGAGTCAGAGCTTCCAGTGCTGCATCACATTGTGGAAAGATTTAAATTCCAACAATTCCTGGAGACTTGTTCTTTGCCAATGCCTTCAGTGCACCTTGGATTAATTTATTTCTGTAGTATCATTAGTTCTTGATCATATGCTACCTCTTGAAATGGTGGAACATCGACCATTTCTTTTTGGTACAGTGATTCTGTGTATTCATTTGAGGCTTTCTACATCATCCAATAATTTGCCCAACGAATCCTTCAGTATTGCAACTCAAGGCTTGAATTTTTTCCCTCAGTTCTTTCAGCTTGAGAAATGCTGAGCATGTATTTCCCTTTTGATTTTCTAGCTCCAGATCTTTGCACATTTCATGATGATATTTGACTTTGTCTTCTTAAGCTGCCCTTTGACATTTTCTATTTAGCTTTTACCTCCTCATTTCTTCCTTTTGCTTTTGCATTTCTATGCTGGAGAGCGAGTTTCAGAGTCTCTTCTGACAACCATTTTGGTCTTTTCTTTCTTCCTTGTCTTCTAATGACTTTCTTCCCGTATGATGTTTTTAATGTCATTCCACAACTCTTTGGTCTTCAATCATTGGTATGTAATGCATCAAATCTGTTTTTGAGATGATCTCTAAATTTAGGTGGGACATGTACAAGGCCAAATTTTGGCTCTCATGAACTTGTTTTAATTTTCTTCAACTTCAGCCTGAATTTGCATATGAGTAATTGATGATCTGTTCCACAGTCTGCCCTGGCCTTGTTTTGGGTGACGATGTGTGAAATAGTGTGAGGACAAGTGCTTTTGAGGGGCTACATTGCAAAGCCTTAGTGATCAGCAAGGATGGGCTAATTGATCTAGGAATAGTTTCTGAGTCCTATGCACACCATACCCTAGGTTCAGGAATTGTGTGGTCCCTAACCTCATGAAGCATATACTCTGGGGGCAGTTTGTTGCGTTTTTTAAGTGCCATCAGGTCTGTTCTGACTCATAGCAACCCTGTGTAGAGTTTCTGAGGAGCAGCGTTGAATTTGAACTGTTGACCTTGTGGTTCAAACTGACTGTGTGGTCCAGTGCTTTATCCTACAGGGCAATGTTGCTGTTGTTTTTAAGTACTGTCAAGTCAGTTCTGACTCATAGCGACCCTGTATAGAATTTTCAAGAAGTGTCTAGTGAGCTTGAACCACTGACCTTGCAGTCCAGCACATTAATACACCACACCATACCAGGATTCCTAGGCAAAGAAGCATGTAATATACAATTACAAATAATGGTAATGGGTCATAAAGACAGATTAATGGTAGAAGGGAATACAGTTCGATTTTGATGTGGAGACTAATTTGTCTGAGAAAGTGATATTTAAGCTGGGATCTGAAGGATGTAGAAGCTGGACAAATAAAGAACTAAAGGATTCCAGCTAGATTCCAGGGATCAACAATTTAGATGGGACAGAGCAGAGGTGGGGAAGAAGACAGGCTTTGGGCATGTAAAGAAGGGGGAAGGGCATTCTGGGCAGAGTAGATGGTACATTTAAGGCAGTTTGGCTGAAGCGAAAAGTTAGTATTGGAGAACAGAGAAAGGGCTAGGAAGCAGACTACCTTATTTTTTAGCCTAGTGGATTATGAGCTGGGCTGCTAACCAAAAAGCCAACAGCTACCAGCTGCTCCTCAGGAGAAAGATGAGGCTTTCTGCTCCCATAAAGATTTATAGCCTCAGAAACCCTATGCAGGGTCAATGTGAGTTGGAACTGACTCTATGGCCCACCACCACCACCATGAAGGTTGAGAACAACTGAAGGTTTAATGTTGAAGTTGAAATAAACATACAGCAAAGTTAACCCAACGGATTTTTGTGAACCTTGGTTGTTATGTGTTATGGTGATTAGACCAAATTGTTTAAACAATTCGGATACACTTTATGGTAAAAGTGAGCATTTTGCAATCAGCTATAAACTGAAAAAGGGAGCTGAGAAACTCTCAAATGCTTGAGCTCCTTCAGGATGAGGCAGGTTCTTACGATTATATATGTGCTGAACACTTTGCCCCTTGGCCACCTCAACTTTTAGAGGAAGGAATCCGAAGGAGCTATTCCCCCTCCCTTTTTTCCTTCCTGTACCCAAGACCTAGACTGACCTGGTGGCAAAGCGCACCCACAGTCAACAAAAGTCAACCTGACCCAGCAGCCCCAGTAGCCACACTTGAAAGCTAGTATTCCTAGCTGCCAAACTCTTCATTTCTCCCTCCTTACATGGTGACTTCTAGGTTTTCCCAGGTAACTGATCTGGAGAGGTGTGCCGTGGGTCCTAGAAAAGCTCCCACATCCCTCTGAACTCCTTGCCCTTTTTTCTAGTCATTGGCTGGAGAGAGGCCATAAATACTCCTCTCCTCACGCTACAGAGCTGTATTTTAGGCTGAGTTACAAAATTAGGAAAGAGAAGGTCATAGATATTTGTTTGTTCTTAAAAATAGAAGATGGTTGGTAATGAATGACTTGGCTCCAATTCTTCTTTAGATTTCTTCCTGATGTCTAGGATCCACAGGAAATCAACTTCTTTCTACACTCGCTTTTGTAATCCCTGGGTCTCCCTGTTGGGGGTGAGTAGCTTCATCTGGATCTCAGTTGTCCCTGAGACACCATTCAGATGCTCATTCAAGTGGAGACATGTGATCTGGGCTAGGGTACGGGGAGAGGGGCACTTCACTAGGAGTAATGTGATTTTACTGCCTATTATATTAGAGTATAGATGAGACGGTGTGTGGCAAGATTACATTTAATGGCCACTTATTTTAATCAGTCATTTAATTTAAAAACAATTTATTATCTGATGACTTCAGAATCACAAAACTAGCATACTTTCATGCTAATTTGTTTCTTCAGGGAGGAGTGAAATGAGGAGCTAAGATAGAATATCTATTGATATCTATCCACTTATTGATAGTTTGAGTTAAAGCATTGCTTTTGGAGAGGGTGTCTCCCCAAATATCCACTTCAGTGAAGTGTTTTTTTGTTTTTGTTTTTTAAATTAGGAGTGCAAATCCATGGTTCAGATTTTAGTTGAAGAGGGGTTGACAAAGAAGGATTATTGTTTCTTGAGTGGAAAATAAGAACCCGTTTGGGACTATGTCCTTGCTATTCTGTTTTCACAGGTTGTAGGATCCCTTCTCATCATGTTTGTGATCCAGTGGATCTATACCCTGGTTAATATGGGCGTTGCTGCCATTTTGTATTTGTACATTGGCCGGACCAGTCCAGGCCTTCACCTTGGTAAGTTGCAGGGCCTTTTTGCTGCCATCTATTTTCTTTGCTTCTAGCATTATTGAAAAGTATGTGAAACACTTTTCTGAGCACTTATTAAATGTCAGCATTAACTCAGATGTGAATCTGATTTTCATGTAGCTTATAGTCTAGGAGGACGAACGTGAATGCATATAAAAGATAGTAAGAGACATATGTTATGATCAAAAGGATAGGTAAACAGCTTTGGCATTCCAGGAGGCAAGAAATTTATTTCATCTCAGGAAAACTGGGGAGGCTTGGGGAAAGACTGCACTTGTTCATTCATCCAATGAATATTTATTGAGTGTCTGCTATGAGTTGGAACCAACTCCTCAGCACTTAACAACAACAGCATGTACCTAGTACTACTCTAAGTGTTGTAAATCCCTGCCTTATGGCACTTACCCTCAAGGTTGGGGGAAGATTGATAATGTAAATAACTCACTACCTGTTGACATCTGAAGGCTGTTGGCTTTGCCTTGTGGAAACAGGATGGAAGAAAGTATTGCAGGGGGAAAGAAATAGCATAGAGGAGGCACTAAAGTGAGAAAGTATAGGCTGTGAATGACATGAAGTAATTAGTACTGAAGTACAGGCCTAGGTTTGTTAACTCAGTGACTGAGATCATAATGCCAAAGAGACTATTGTCAATAACCTAAGATGGGTGTCAGGGACCCAAAAAGCCACTGGAATGAGATTGGTGGAACAATGTGTGTGATATCAAGATGTCAGGGAGAACGTGAATAGGTAAGCACCGTACCTGAGGGACAGGGATAGGATAAAGACAAACCAGGGGTGGACGGGGCAGTAAAGATCAAGAGTCTTGAGTAAGAGAACTAGACAACAGGAATCCATTCATGTTTGGTGGCTGCAGACTCAAATCTATATGTCAGGTCCTGTGCTAAGAACTAGGAACAATGAAGAATAATTTTTTGTGGTCCCTAACTGTGGTCTAAAGCAAGACAGACATAGAAATAAATATTGATCATCTTATCTAGCAAAACTTAAAGCAATCTTGAAAAGAAAGTAACTTAACCTGTTCCAAAACTCAACAATAATTATATGAATACAAACATATCCAGCACTTAGCAAGGTAACATATTATCTGGTATCTAACCAAAATTGGACTCCTGGTGTGATGCTGTTGGACAAGCACTGGACTGCAGTCCAAACCCATCAGATGCACTTCAGAAACCCTATACAAGGTTGCTATGAGTTGCAACCAACCCTATGATGCTTAACAACAATGAAAATTACCAGGCAAATCAAAAAAGGAGAAAACTCATAGTGAGGAAAAAATCAACAATTAAAAACCCAGATATGGTGGGGGGGTGGGGGGGTGGGGGGCTACAAAGGCAAGAAGTGACTGGCTTACAAGCTTTCAAGAGGGAACCTAGATCCAGAGGGCGTGGAGGAAGGTAGAATCTCCAGTGAGTAATATCCAATCTGTCTAGGCGGGGCTGATGAAATGAAATGCGGATGGGTAGGTCTCTTGTGATACAATCAATAGTGAATAATTGTTATCAGGACTGCTTGTGAGGGTTGGAAATGTAAAGGTAGACATTTTGTAGCAAAAGGAGGGGAGTGATTAACTTTGCAGTCTAGGAGCAGAGATCCCTGGGACCATCAATGGAGAAGACCCTACCCAGAGAAGCAGTGATGCCTGAGATGAAGGCAGAGATGATGATGTGGAGAGATGAAGCAGCTGGGGACTTTACATCCAGAGAGGGAGAGGGGCTGTGTGCTGACGACCCGGGGGCAGGCTTGTAGTATATACTCTTTGGTTGGTTGATGATGCATGGAGGGGATTATAGGAGGGGATTGTAACCATGGCAATGAAACAATATATGATAGAATGAATGTAAAACTAATGTCCTCCCATTTAAACTATCATATAATTCACAATAATAAAAAAAAAAAAGATTGGCAAACACACACATATACACACACACACACACACACAAAACCCAGAGATTACGGAGATGATAGAATAGAAAAGCAACTACTTTATAAAATAGTTTGGCAGTTCATGTAAAAATTAATTGCATGCCTGCCATATGACCCAGCTATGTTAATTATCTAGCGTTAGAGCAGAAATACCACAGTGGAAGTTTTTAACAAACAGAACTAGATTCTCTCTCAGTTTGGGAGCCTAGGAGTCTGAATTCAGGGGTCTAGCTCTAGGGAAAGGCTTTCTCTTTCTCTGTTGACTCAATTTAGAAGGAATCTCCTTGTCTCCTCTCAGAAGCTGTGGCCTGACATTCCTTGGAGATCTCCATGTGTTTTGGCTTCAATCCTCACCTGGGTCTAGGAGTTTCACAGGGTCCCTGGGTCCAAAGGACATGCTCTGCTTTCAGCTCTTCTTTCCTGATGGCACTGAGGTGCCTCTCTCTCTACTTGCTTCACTCTCCTCTTTTTCTCTGGAAGATAAAAGATGATAGGCCACATCCTAGGGAAACTCCCTACACAGGGATCAGAGTTGTGACTTGATTAGGGGTGATGCATCCCACCTATATTATATCAGATCACATCATTACCTAACTGCCATATTACATAACTGCCAAACCTCTGAGAATCATGTTGACACATACTGGGGGGGGGGGGGGTAATAATTCAATCTGTGACATCAACTATTCTAATTATTTGCCCAAGAGAACTGACAACATATATTGTTATTGTTAAGTACTGTCAAGTCAGTTCTGACTCAAAGAGACCCTGTATAGCGTTTCTGAGGAGTAGCTGGTGGATTTATACCTTGTAGTTGGCAGTCCAGTGCTGATCCTACGGTGCCACACCAGGAGTCCAATATTTGTTCATGTAAAAACATTACATGAATATTTATAATAGCTTAATTTATAATGGCCAAATACTAGAAACAACCCAAATGCCCATCCATAGGTAACTGAAGAAGCAAATCATAGTTTACCCATATAATAGAACACTAGTCAGTGTGGAGTTCTGGTGTGGTGCTGTAGCAGCAACATTGGACCACAAGGTCAGTGGTTCAAAGTCACCAGCCACTTCTCAGGAACCCTGTACAGGGTCGCCATGAGTCAGAACCAACACGACAGTATTAACAACTCAGCAGTAGAAAGGAATGTACTATTGATATATGAAATAACATGGATGAATCTGAAAATTATTATCCTGAGTCAAAGAAACCAGGATAATAGTAAGTAGTATATAATTTTATATATTTGTAATTATTGAAAGTAGAAGCTAATCTGTAACGATATCAGATCAACGCTTGCCTTAGGATGGGGATTGAGGGCAGGGATGCAAGTGAAAGAGGATTTATGAAGGGGCATGAGGAAGCTTTCGGTGATGATGGATAAAGCCATTATCTTGATTGGGGTGGTAGTTTCACAGGGGTATAGTGAATTATGCACTTTCACTTTAAATACATTCAGTTGATTTTGTATAAATTATACTTCAATAAAGCTGTTAAAAATACATTAAAGTATTTTTCAACAAAAGTATCTGATGCCCCATTTAAGATAAAGAAATTAATTTCACATCCTAACTAAATCGATGAACCGTAAATCCAGGAAAACTGCAAGAAAAGTTGTTCGGATTTAGAAGAGTCAGCTGATTCTTTTTTAAAGAGATGTATTCTTCAAATACCTTGAGTCACGTATTTATTTAAAATAATGTTTTCAGAAATTATAATGCTTAGAAGTCCTGATATAGCTAATTTAGTGGATGGTATCATTTAAATTAATGTGAGTATTGTTGTTACGTGCCGTCAAATCTGTTCCAACTCACAGCAACCTTATTATATACAGGGTTTCAAAGAGCAGCTGTTGGGTTTGAATTGTCAACCTTGCAATTATCATATATTTCAGTGATTGACTTCTGCATTTCTTAAAAAAATACATGATTAAGAAATTTAAACATATCTCAGAAATCTATTCATATTCCAGGACAATCTCCATCTATAATTTAGATAATTTAGAATCGAAATGATCACAAATCAGATTCTGTTAATAAATTGTTTATTTTCTTCCAAACATAGTAGGACTCCTCTCTCTGTTGCTGCAAATATAAATCTAAAATGTATCTTTCCTTTAATCAGATCATTTCATAAGAACCCAAAATTATTCTGAGTAAACATGTTGTCAGCTGCACATTGTTGACATTTGCCAGTTCTAACATAAGCCTCTTGAAGTAATGCTAACGCCCTGACCATATGTTGGACATTGTCCAATTCATCAATTTTTTTACCAGCAATGTACATGCATTTTTGGTGGCGTGAGTGTATGTAATTTGGAAAAGCATTTTATAAAATTACATTTGATTTGGTGTTCTAAAGCTATATATAATTTCTTATGTATGTGGAATTAAAAAAAAAAAACCTCCAACCAAAGGAGTTGTTGTTGTTAAGTGCTGTCGAGTAGGTTCTGACCTATAGCGACCCTGTATAAGGTTTCCAAGGAGCAGCTGGTGAGCTTGAACTACCAACCTTGCAGTTGAAATGGCTTTACAGTCTGGCACATTAACCCACAGCACCACACCAGGACTCCAAAGGAGGGGAGGTTAAAAAACAACAAAACATTATAAAACTGATTCCTTTCATTGTGTCTGATGTCAGGATTATCAGTAGTGACAACCATCTGACTTCAAACTTCAGCTCTAACATTTCTATAGATTGAGCTAGTTGAGTTACTGAACACTTGTTAAAAATAGGTAAGAAAGAAAGCAAGACAGAAAGAAGTAAGTTCCCTAATCTCAAAGATCTTAGAGTCTTGTGGTGGTGGTGGTGTGCTATCGAATCTGTTCCTATATAGGGTTGCTGAGGTTGTAAATCTTTATAGGAGCAAAAAGCCTCCTCTTTCTCCTGTGCAGCAGCTGGTAGATTTGAACTGCTGACCTTGCAGTTAGCAGCCCAACTCATAACCCACTTTGCTACTAGGACTCCTTTGTAAGTCTAGTTGCTATTAAGTCAAGTCAGTTCCAACCCATAGTGGCCCTGTATAGGGTTTCCAAGGAGCAGCTGGTGAGCTTGAGTCGCCTACCTTGCAGTTCAAACAACTTTGCAGTCTAGCGCATTAACCCACAGCGCCACACCAGGACTCCTTTAGTCAAGTGGTGGTGGTGGTGGTTATGTGCAGCAGAGTCAGTTGCAACTCATAGTGATCCTGAATAGTGTTTCCAAGGCTGTAAATCTTTGTATGGGAACAGTAAGCCTCATCTTTTCCCCATGGAAAACGGCTGGTTGTTTTGAACTGCTGACCTTGAGGTTAGCAGCCCAACTTGTAACCACTATGCTACCAGAGTTCCTTCGTTTAGTCTAGTGGTGATGATGGTGGTGGTGTGCCTGCAGTCAGTTCTAACTCATAGCGACCCTGTGTAGGTTTTCCGAGGCTGTAAATCTTTACTAGAGCAGAAAGCCTCATCTTTCTCCCATATAGTAGAGGGATTTAAAACCATGTGTTGAACCTATATCCTTATGAATCTAAGAAAAAATATCAACATTAAAAAAAAAATCTTAAGATTGAAGTTAGCAAGTTCTCTGGTGTCATGTTTTTTTTCTTTATAGTGCTTTATCCAGTTTCTTTCTTAGGATTTGGGAGTTTAAAGATACACTTCTGGAACCTACATAGGGGTACAAAGTCTTTAGAAAGTTGTCAAGGAGTATTACAATGAATGTTGTTTGATTTAGGCTGAAAAGGAAAAAAATATTTATTAATTCTGTGTGTATGTCAAGAAGCGTATATTTATCTAACTTGTAGCTGGGATTCTAGTTGCATCTGTAAACCCTTCCTAAATACTTGCATACATTTCTCCTCTGCAGGATCAGCCTCCAACTTCAGCTTTTTCAGATGGATGAAGTCTCTGCTGATCCCCTCCTGCAGGTCTGTGCTAATGCGGGGCCAGGGCCAGGTGGATGGGGGTCCTGGTGTGGCATTGGAGGATAAGCACTAGATCCCAAGGTCGGTTTGAACCTCAAGGAGAGTGATTCAAATTCACCAACTCCTTCTGGGAAACCCTACACAGGATTGCTGTGAGTTGGAACCAACTCAAGGACACTTAACAACAAGAAAAACAACCACATGGTAATGTATTCCTGGTGTAGCACTGTAGGATAAACACTGGACTGCCAACCACAGGGCAGTTCAAACTCAACAGCTGCTCCTTGGAAACCCTATACAGGGTTTCTGTGAGTCAAAACTGACTCAACGGTATTTAGCAATAACAAAAACAACCAGATGGATGAATATTCCAGGGTTCTGGAAGATACTAAGCTAGACTTGTGACTGAATTATGGTGTAGAAATGTGACAATTAAGAACCTTAAGGAGACTCAGACTTTGGTCCTCCCTGGCCTCCACCACACCCAGCCCTTCAGCTAGAACTCATCAGAAAGTCCTCACTCAAGTCCTCTTCTTTCTAGTTCTCAATCATCACAACAACTTTATTAGAATCTTTTTTTTTGGCTGGATGATACCATAAGGTCAGTGGTTCAAACCCACCAAGGTGCTCTTCGGAAACCTTATACAGGATCGTTATGAATTACAACAAACTCGACGGCACTTAACAGTTATTAATTTTGTGAGGTACTACTGGTGGGTCAGTGGTAAAATTCTCTCCTTTCATGGGGGAGACCTGGGTTCAATTCCTAGTTCATTCCCAAACAATGTGTCTCATGTGCAGCTACCACCCCTATGTCAATGGAAGCTTGTTGGTTGCTTGATAAATTGCTGGACAAGTTTCAATGGGAGTTCCAGACTCAGACAGATTAGGAAGAAATCAGCCAATGAAAACTTTATGAATCACAGTGGTCTGACCCTTATTATATCATGGATCAGGAGCTGTTTTGTTCTGTTGTATATAGGGTCAAGGGCTAACTCAATGGCACCTAGCAACAACAACTCTCAATCTATCTCCTGACTATATGTTGTACATTATCTAATTCATCCATTTTCAATCACACACACACACAAACCATGAGGGTAAGTAAAAAAGTATTGCTACTAGGGGTTCCATTTCCTCCATGCATGAGTTGATTCCAAACAAAATGTGTTTAAACATGTCTCTGCAATCAGTGAATGGTGATTTTATGGGATACACTTGTCTTAGTCTTACTAGGGTGCCTTGAAAAAAAGGTCCAAACTAAACAGTGACTTTCAAGGAGATTAGCTGAGCCAGTGCAAATAAATTTAGAGAGGTCAGCTCAGAAAGTTATGGCAAGTATTTTGGGGATTCCAAAGAGATAATCTTGATAGATTTTCTCAAAGGACATAGAATGATCACAGGGGCTTATTAGGAAAAAGTTTTAGGAAAACTTAAGAGTACATTGGTGAGAAAAAGGCCAGGAAAGTTGCATCTAGGATTTTTTTTTCCTACCATGACAATGCACTTGCGCATGTTTTGAGCGTATCAAGGGCTCTGTTAGGGGTGTTTATTGGAAAACCTTACCCCATCCATCCTACCAACTTGGTTTTGCTAATTCAGTCTTTTTTGTTCCCTAAACTCAAAGAACATTGAAAAATAACATGATTTGAGTCCCCTGAGGATGCCCACACTGCTGCTTTGAAGTGGTGTAAGTTGAAGAATGCAGAATTCTTTGGAGAAGAGTTAGAGAGATGGAACACTGCATATAGGAGTGCACAGACCTAGGAGATTATGAAGAGAAACAATAGCTTCACATTTTGATATTTTTGCTTAATAAAGGTTTGTATGATTTTAGATTGCCACAGTGGCAGCAGTGATGGGCTCAAGTGTAGCAATGATTGTGAGGTCTGGGCAGGGTTTCGTTCTGTTGTATGTGAGGTCGCTACAAGTCAGTACTGTCTCCACAACATTTAACAACAACCATGAATAAGTTTCACTGATTTTGTCTCTCTAGAAAACCCAGCCTAAGACAAGCACAATATACATTCTTCTCCAGCTCACATGAAACTTTCACCAAGGTGGATTCCATGTTGTTGTTGTTTAAGTGCCATTGAGTCAGTTCCAATTCATAGCAACCCTGTAAAGGGTTTCCAAGGAATGGCTGGTTGAGTTTAAACTGCTGACCTTGCAGTTCAATCCAACCTTGCAGTCCAGTGCATTGTCCTGCAGCACCACATGACCGGACCATAAAACAGACATTCACAAATTTGCAAAAATGATTCTGAATTTACATTTGAGAACCATGGGAAAGGGTACCATGATCCATTAGTACTGTGTGGGCATAGACGGTAAAAATATTAGCAAGTACAACCCAAACATCTAGAGTTTTGAAAACAAACAAATAAACAGGATAAACACAAACAGTTGGGGCCTTTCTGGATTTTTACAATCAGCAGCCTTGGCTCCTCTCTGATACTGAAAAGGAAGAAATAGGTAGGAGTCATATTCCAGAATCTTGAAACCTTAAAAGGTGAAGAAGCATTGGCAGTGTGAAGGACGGAGAGAAGAAAGAGATTAGGGCATTTGTGAATCTTACCTTCTCAGGAGACCTGCTCTGTTATCAATAAAGTCTATTCCTCCTTTTCTCTGTTTATCTGAATGTGGAATTTCCCCCAGAAATACTCCAGGATCTCTGCTTTACTTTAGACTTGACCTCTGTGCTTTTACTAACAGTCATGTTAACTGCCTCTAGGATTGTGAGTCATTTCCTTGATATGAATGTCTCTTTATTGTTTTTCAGTGCCACTGAGTCAGTTCCAACTCATAGCGACCCTGTATAGGTTTTCCAAGGAATAGCTAATGGGTTTGAGCTGCCATCCTTGGGGTTCACAGCCCAGTACTGATCCTACAACATCACACCAGGAGTCTGTAAAACATATATATGGATATCTGTAAAAAGAGTTTTGTGTGGTATGTAATAGGATAAGTGCAGAACCACAAGGTCAGTTTGACCCATGAAGTCGGCAATTCTAACTCATTGGTCACTCGCTGGAAACCCCACACAGGGATGCTAGCAGTTGGAACTGACTCAACAGCACTTACAAATAAATAAATCAAGAGAAGTTTGTATCAAGGAAATGACTCACAATTGTAGAGGTGGAGAGTCCCAAGCCCAGATCCAACAGAAAAGAGTGAGACTTTCCTGTCTGCCCATAATATAAGGAACAGGCCACATCCCCAAGGAAATAATCTTTCAATTGATTGGCTGCTCATAGAGTTAACTAACAGCTTCCATCTAGACCACTGGAAGTCCTGGTCCAATCAAGTTGACACAGAACCTTAACTACCACACTGCTGTTGTTGAATATGAAGTATCCTATGAATGTCAATTCAATCCCATTGATTGATGGTGCTGTTCAGTCATCTGTACCCTTCCTGATCTTCTGTCTGTTATGTCTGTCAATTACTGATGGAGGGGTATTGAAGTAGATCTATTTCTCTATACCATTCTATGAATTTTTCTCTAGCATATTTTGATGCTCTGTTGTTAGAAGCACAAACCTTGATTTTTATGTCTTCTTGGAGAATTGTTCTCTTTATCATTATCTTTCATTTAAACCTCTTGAAAGTGTTAAAAAGCAAAGATGTCACTTTGAGGACTGAGGTGTACCTGAACCAAGCCATGATATTGTCAGTCACCTCACATGCATGAGAAAGCTGGACAATGAATAAGGAAGAACAAAGAAGAATTGATGCTTTTGAATTATAATGTTGGTGAAGAATACTGAATACACCATGGACTTCCAGAAGAACAAACAAATCTACCTTGGGAGAAGTACAGTCAAAATGCTCCTTGGAAGAGGTGATGGTGAGACTTCATCTCATGTTATTTGGACATGTTATCAGGAGGGACCAGTAGTCCCTGAAGGGCATCATGCTTGGTAGAGAGTCAACAAAAGAGAGGAAGACCCTCAATGAGATGGATTGACGCAGTGGTTGAAACAATGGGATCAAACATAAAAATGATTCTGAGGGTGACACAGGATTTGTTTCTGCTGTACAAAGGGTCACTTTGCATTGGAACCAAGCCTACGGCACCTAACAACATCACACTGTATGTAAAGTCCCTCTTTACCCATGATAATTTTCCTTGTTTGAAGTCTGCTTTGCCTGAAATTAATGTAGCGACTCCAGCTTCTTTTTGATTAGTGCTAGAATGGTGTTTCTTAATTCATCCCTTTAATCAATATGCATCTTTATATTCCAAGTGGATTTATTATAGACAATATATTGTTAGGTCTTGGTTTTTTATTCACTCTAAAAGTCTCTGTTTTAAAATTGCTGTATATAGACCATTCACACTTAAATTATTATTAATCTAATTAATATTTACCTTATTTGTAATTATTTCACTGCCCTCATTCTTTCTTTCTCTTTTGTTATTGTTTCTTCTTGCTTTTATCCTAACAATCACTTGAGATAACAACCACCCAGAAAGAGGTAGGACACATTGATTATGTCTTTCCAGTTTTTGTTTCTTTGATTACATACATTTAAAAAAACAAAATTAGACTCGTATTGTGTTGGTTACAGTGTATGTCCCCATTTATTTTCCTTAACACTTTGATAAAGTCTTTAAAACATTAGACAATATACTCTGCAAGAAGTACCTTACTCTTCCTCACCCTCCCACTCCTGGTAACCATCAAAGAATGCTTCTTTTAGTGTAAAAGTCTTTTCTTGACTTTTTGCAATGGTGACTTCATGCAATATTTGTCATTTTATGACTGATTTCACTGAGCATAATGCCCTCTAGGCTCATCCATGTTATGAGGTGTTTCTTAGATTCATAATTATTTTTTAGCATTGTGTTAAGTTCCATTGTGTATATGTAGCATAGTTTATCCATTCTTCCATTGATGAATATTTAGTTTTTTCCCATCTTATTGCTATTGTGAGTTATGCTGCAATGAATGTGGTGTGCTTGTATCTAAAAAAAAAAAAAAGTAGACAACAATAGC